ATAATACTCAATTTCTGACTATCTATCTCCATCTCTATAATCAATTGCATTTCTCCTTCATATCACAAGACCGAATTTCATACTCTTCCACACAACAAGTTGGCCAATAGAGTTGACAAGTTCAGCCGGTTCTGCGAATTGGTCATCATTGAAAAAGAGTTTGACTGATATACAGTGATGGTACAATTGGTCAATACGGATGAATCGAAGAGACAAGTCTCAAAGCATGGAAATTTTGCTTTTGTGGAGCTTGCCATGGACATCACAAATAAATGTAAAGGAGGAAAAATATTAGGGGTCTGTTTGGAAAGCCACCTGGTAATTGAAATTGGTGTAATTACTAGGATAGTAATTATCAACCTAGTAATTACACAACCTAGAAATTACGCTGAAATGTTTGTTTGTCATTGTGTAATTACAAATGTACTGTTTGGTTGCACAAGTGTAATCATAAGATAATGTTAAATTTTAAAAGTAAAGTTAATTATCTGAAATTAAAAATCTATATTAGACTAATAAGGGCATTTATAAATGATATTAAATTAAATATTTAAGATATATATTGTCTTTTAAAAATATATTAATCAACAAACATATGTTCTTTACTAATATTATAAAAAATAATTAATTTATATTTTTCAAATTGGTATATTTTAATTAATTAATAATAAAAACTAAAAGTACAAGATTTCTATGAACGTCATAAAATACTTGTTTGACAAAAACATGAATATTATAAATATAATGTCATAAACTATGAAAATATTTGACAAAAAGATAATTTATCAAGTCTAACTAAAAAATAAATTATTTGCAATGTGAATTATCAAAGTCAATACTACTAAGCAAATGAAACTGAAAATATAACATAAGTTCTAAATTTAAAATAAAAAATTTAATGTAATACGCTTATGTCAAATTTCAACATACCGTACATAAATATGATTTAAAAAAAAGGAAAACATAAATATATAACCTTACTCAACAAGGAATTCTACTTTACTTTAAAAACTAGAATTCTAACAAAATTATGCTATTGAAAAAAGTAAACATAAAAAAAAAATATGAAATCGCATGGAATCACAAGAAGTAAAGGTTGAGAATGAGAAGAAAATGAAATATAAATAATATAAAAAAATTATTTTAAAAAGTTTAAAATAATAAAAATAAAAAAGAATTTAAAATGATAGAAATGAAAATAAATTACAACAAATAAATAAAAAGAAGAAATTAAAAGTAATCAGCTTGTAATTACACCATGTAATTGCTAGCAATTCACAGCCCCTTTCTGAGAATTGGAGAGTGTAACTACCCCTGCCAATTACACTCAATTACCTGCTGACCAAGTAATTACATTGTCAACCAAACATGTTAGGTAGTGTAATTACACCAAATCTAATTATCAGAGTGACTTTCCAAACATGACCTAAAAGATTTAGAAACATGAAGGTTTGACAATTCAAAATGCCAAGGAAATGCATAGCCACCATAACTCAAATATGTAAGAAGTTAGCCTCACCACAAAAAAGTTCTCTAGATACCTATGATCTCTTGGAATCAATGTGGAATTATGTAAAAATGTCATGCGATGGAAACAAAAGATTTGTATACGTGACACCAACAAGGTTGTAGTAGGCTTAATTGTGTCACAACACTAGGTCCATGGCACATAGTGTCCTTTTTGGGCATATGCCTACATGAATTTTTTTGGGTTACGCCACATCAAGCCCCAAAAGCACGTGTATGATAAGTGGGTAATTAAGCGTAACACCCGCAACTTCTAAGTAAAAATCTGAACCCTTCTCTGTAAGTGTAGGCCTGAACTCTATGATTTCTAATTTATATGTATATGTTAAGGTCCTTACTAAGTGTAATAAGTGTATCGGATGTGTTTTAGGGTCGTAAGGTACCTCAAACATCAAGCCAAGTTAAAAGCATTTCTATCGAATAAGTTTTTGCATGAGTTCATATAAGGATCAACTCCAAACGACCATATCTCCCAGCATATAAAGAGTTAGGTGGCCCATGACCTATCAAAGTAAAGGTCTATGAGTCTTTTTTCCAACGCCACCAAATTTGCATCAATCCGAGTTCAGTGTTGTAACACCTTAGAAGTTCTAAATCCAAATCAGATTGTGAGAAGTTGAAATTTTCCTGGAAAACTGGAATCCATGAGCATTATCTACGGACCGTAGATGGAACCATAGGTTGTAGATGAGGCTTGTAGATTATATTTCCTTGATATAATCATTATAAGATTTCAGATAGTATGATTTTGGATAGCGTAATTTCAAGTAACATGATTTCCAGATATGCATCCTTTCGGACATGATTTTGGAAATATGGTCTAAGATATACATTTTTATTTTTGAAATATTATGTCATATTTCACAGTTTTGACTCTCAGTCCTTCAGTTATCGTTTGAGTATTACTCATGATCAGATTCGTAGTTCTTTCAGTTGTTGTATAATTGTTGATCTCAGCCCTTACTTTGCACACCAACACATGCTACTTTGCGCTACATCATTCTATGATGAAGATCTCATCACCCTAATTCAGATTCGCGGACAGACGTTCCACTAAGTTACTCTACTTTCAGCATTGTGGTGAGTCCTCCTCGCATTCAAAGGACTTCACTTATGATTCAACAAATTTTATTCACTTCAGTTGTGTTAACTTTCAAGCAACTTCGGGTCTTGTCCCAGCAAATGATCTTATTTAGTTTAGAGGCTTTTAGACATTAGTATTCGGTTGTAATAGACTTATTTCTGAATGGTTTTAGTTTACAGCATCCGCTTTAATTTTCATATGATATGCTTAGATATACTATGTCAAGAGTTAGCTTGGGATCATTTGTGGTTCCAAGTACCATGTCTCAGCTAGGGTGTAGACTCGGGTCATGACTTTAACCTACTTATCTAGTCCTTAAGCTGGTTCTATTGGGGGTTTGCGGAGAGAAAAAGGTCACACTTACGGCATTTTAGCCCTAAAAGATAGATTTTCTCTTTTGATAAATAGTAACATTACCGAAAGACAGATTTTCATGATTAACGGTGATTGGGCTGAAACAAAGTAAAAAGGTGCAAAAAAGGAGAGTTGGAAGTAACAAAACAAACTGCTGCCAGAAAGTGATGTCGATGTAGAGGAAATGATGTGGAGGGTGATGTGCTCGCAAGCCCACATGCGGCGGCGCATCACCAGTTCACAGACCACAACTCGAGGCAAAAGGGTTGCAGAAAAAGCATGATATGCGGTGCACTAGTGCGACCGCAACTCCTGATACAGGGACGCATCTTACTTATCTTTCAACACAAGTCAGATGCGACAATTTCACCGTGCTACCCGATGCTGCAAAGCAGATGTGACCGCAACAGCACATGCAACGCTGCCACAGGTGCGCGAACCCTAATATATTCCGAATTTCGTTAAGCATTTTTAGAAACTATAAATACCTATTCTTAGACTTTTATTAGGGGGTGTTTTAAGTTCAGTTTTATCTGGTTTTTGACTTCTTGAAACACTAATTGGCGAGAGATGAAAGTGTTTTAACATTGTGATTGTTTGATAATCGGAGACAATCTTTTCGTTCTTGATTACTTTTCTTGATCATTTTAAGCACGTCTTCTACTTCTTCTAATTCATTTTATGTGCTTTCTATGAGTAACTAACAAGAACCATTTTCTTCCGTACCAAACACACTCATACAAAAAATTGGTAATCTATAACAATGGAAATCATAAAGATAAGGTATACACAAATACGGAACCTTCATCACCTATTTTCACTTGAGGCCAAGTGATCAAGGAAGTCATTTAGTTCCTTAATTGTTAGCCCAGCAGAAGCCATTCCCTGTCTGCGCTGGAGGACCTATGCACAAGCAATATCCAATATAAGTTATTAATCATATGTATATTACAACACCGGTTCTTTGAAGATGAGAAAAAATACCAAAAACATTAGCAACAGAACAATCTCAGAGGAAGAACACAATAAAGTTGTAATTTAGCTTGTCATTTGAAAGGAAATAATGGGGTAGTTATTAAGGTGCTGATTTGTTGGGCAAATTCAGCTCCAAAAACCGCAGTTCCTCGAGTTTCCAGCAAAGATCTTACGGACAAGGTCAATCTCAAACAAGAAGGGCACATTATGAATTGAAGTACGAGCATAAATAAATGCAGAGAAATTAAAATGGGGAAAATCTGTTATAGTTGTATGAATCTTAAGTCAAAAAAAAAAAAAATTAAATGCGAAAAGGGCATCAAAGAGACAAGCTCCTTGGAGCTTAAAGTGAGAAATGAAGTGTGCACTTCTTTCAGAATATGAAGTATCAAAATATATGAACTTAGTATTATAATAATCAAATTGCAATTAAACAACTAATTTCAAAACCCATTATCAATAACGTTGATATTACTCCAGCCCTTCAAATTTGATATTTAAAGAAAAGGTTTTTCATCTTTTTCACTTTGCAAGTCATTGGTTAGATGGCACATTAACTAAAAGGCATGGTTTCACCTATGAAGTGATAACCCATCGCATCAATTCTTTAAGCAACAAAGTTATGGTAATAACACATGCACGTGTGTGAGGTAAATTAACAAAGACAATTTACATGGGCACTCAATAGCAGGAACACCTTAGATTATTTTGTTGGAGAATCAACGTTGGCTTTCTTAGATATTTTGTGATACATGAATTATTTTACTTTATGTATTAGGAAATTAATTTAACGATAAAATTCTTTGTTCGTGAACTAGGAAAGAGAAAAAGATTTAGAATTAAAGATACATGTACTAGATTAGATACATGGTAAAAGAAGTCCTATAAATACCTAGGGGAACTTCGGCTATTAAGCAAGTCGAGTGAAATAAAGAAGAATCACCTCCTCTACTTATCTTCAAGAGAAGTTGAGTGATTCGTGAGCACTCCTTCACCCCACCCCCCAACCCCCCGGACCCCAAATATTCAGCATTTTGTATCAAAGCCAATTGCATTGAAGGACTTGTGAGAATTGAGAAACTAAGGCAAAGAGATCTTATTGAAAGATTTTTGAAAAAACTAAAAATCACGTCTTCATCAAATTTCTGTTAGCAACTTGTTCTTGTATGTAGAGAGAACTACCAACCATAGGTAGTGAAAAATGAGTTTTTCCTGATAAAATAAAGGTAAAAGTGAAGATTAAAGCTTTTGGCTGAAGATTTATGGGAGGTAATGGAGACAAGGGAAATCACTTGAGTTGTCTAAGGATCCGATAGTTTCTCACCTCCAAATTTTCAAAGATAAGAAGAAGAAAGATCTAAGGCTCTAACACATCTACATGCTTTAGTATCATAAGCAATTTTTGTAAAGATTATGTCTTGCTCTTCTCTTAATGAAAAATGGAAAAATTGGTAGACAGAATATCAAAGGTCAGAAAGGACCAGAAATATCAATATTATTCCTTTAAAGAGACAACTTGAAAACTTAAGAATGGAGAAGATGGAGAGACACAATACCCAAATAAGTTGATGGAACTTGTGAGTCAAATCCAAATATTAGGTAAGGATCTTTTGAAAGAAAAGATTGTCGAGAAATCCCTCGGAAGTTTGCCTAAAAATTTTGCATTGAAAATCTCTTCCCCGGAGGATTCTATAGATATTGCAAAGATGACTTTTGCAAAATTTATTAGTGCACTTGAGGCACAAGAACAAAGAATGCATAAGGCATCATGGAATAGCTCTTGAGCTAGCTTTATAAGTCAAAGATATGGCCAACCAAGATCTTCAAAAAAGGTAAAAGTTCAGTGGAAAAGGCAAAAGCTACAAGAAGAAAAATGCAGCTCAACCTTCTCACAACCATTGCAAAAAAGGAAAGATCCCATCATCCCACCACCTTTGAAATGTAGATAATGCAAGAAATCACCAGATGGAAAAGTTTTGTTTCCAGAAGCAAAGGCACCAACAAGAACAACAGGTAAACCTTGTTGTTGATGATGAAGATGAAGGAGAAGAGACAACATTCTCATTGGCACTTCAGGAGAAAGAAGTTAAACTTCAAATTTGAAATACCGAAGAATGTTTTGTGAATTCCAACCACAAGGTTTAAGGAGTATTGGAGAATAAACTTTGTATTGGAAGAAGAAAAGGCCTTCTTAGATTTTTGAAATACAAGAATTATCTTAATTCACGTTTAGGAAATTGATTTACAGATACATGTATTGTTTTGTCCATGAACTAGAGAAGAGCAAAAAGTTATCAATTAAATTAAGATATATGTACTAGACAAAGTGGGACAAGTTCTATAAACATGTAGGCTCTATAGCCATTTTATGTGAGCTAGTTGAGCAAAAGAAAAAATGAAATCATTGACTCCACAATCTGACTGATTTTTGAGAATGTTCCTCCTTCACAAATTTCAAACACATTTCACACTCAAGTACTCAAAGAATAACTCCTCCTTATGTGTTTCTATAGAATTAGTGCAAGCCTACATTTAAAATCATCAAGAATCAGTAGGTAAATTTACCCCTCTTTTTCCTCATTTGATCTCTCCATTGTCTATACCTCCCCAATTCTCTTACTTCAACCTCTTAGTTCTTATTTCTTTTTATAGTTTAGTTTGACAATGGGAGATCATCAATTAGCAGAGCTGTTTTCACAGATACCCTCTAATTGTCCTATTTTATTGTATATCCCAATTTGATTGGGCTGATAGTGTAGTTGACGAATTGATTTGAAAAAAATACATCTCATTTCCATTCTCCATTTCTCTTCATTAAAATCGAGCACTGTCATACAAGAATAGGAAATGATGTACAAATAAAAGGAGGCCCAAAAAGTTTTCAATTCAAGAAATGATAATTAACCTAACAGACACTGGCTAGGGGGACAATGTGGAGCCAGTTGTTAGCAGGGAAGAATATTTAATGTACAGGACTGAGCAAGACTGCGGAAGTGGTTAAACTTAATTGAGTTTTAATAAAAGATAATAATTGTAACAAAGTGGTAAAACTCCTTTGCACTCCTCTCAACTCGCTCAATCACTCTATTGATTTGGAGTATTTTTCAATAATTTCTTCAATTAAACAACTGACGAGAAGAATAATCTGCACTGAGAAATTTAGTATTCCGAATTGCTATTATGTTGTTTCTACTAGTCATGATCGTCAAGAGAATTCCAATAGTGAAGAAGAATTTACCTCCGCGGCAACAAGAGAGAAGTTGCCGGCATTTGAGCCAGTTTTGGGACCGCCTTTCCGCCAGTTGAGAAGACGGCGGGCATCATCGGATTCGCGGGACATGGCAAGTGCGTCAATGAGGCAAGTAGCGAGGACGTGCTCCTTAAGGCCATAAGAGCCACGCTCACGGTCGAGGCCAGGGAGAATAAGGCGCATGGCAGCGAAATTATCCTGAGGCTTCCTGCAGAAGGTGTCAATAAACTTCCGGAACTTGGACCGCTTCTTCGCTGATGATTTACTCTTCTGTATCCACTGGAAAAGGCTGACCATTACACTAAATTTTATGTCTTCTCCACCAACACTACTATTACCACCACCGTCTAAGGCGGAAGTCGCCATTTTTCTTTGGGGGGCTTTGGGATGCCAATTTCGAATTGTTTGAATTGAAGCGTACTAGAGAATTTTGCTGGGAATCAATTTATTTACTTTCTGGTTAGGAGACCAAACTTTATATTCCACATCAGTGGTCCTTGACTAATTCATAAGTTGAGTCAACAGCCCTCCAAGTCTCGAAAATGTGCAAAAAAATGATTTTCTACTAGGAAAAAGTTTAAATATATCATTAAGGGTCTGTTTGGAAAGTCACATGATAATTGTAGTTGGAGTAATTACTAGGGTAATAATTATCAAGCTAGTAATTATACGGGGGTGCTTGTTTGCTTCAGTGTAATTACACATGTCTTGTTTGGATACACTATTGCAATCATCAAATCATATTAAATTTTAAAAATAAAAATTAAAGAATTTATTAGACAAATAAGAGCTTTTATAAATGATATTAAATTGAATATTTAAGCTATATATCATCTTTTAAGAATATATTAACTAATAAGGATATGTTCTTAACTAATATTATAAAAATAATTGATTTATATTTTTCAATTTACTATATTTTAATCAAATTAATCATAAAAACTAAAATTACTTATGCATATTAAGAAATGCATGTTTGACAAAAAGATTAATATTATAAATATCATGTCATTAAATTATAAAATATTCGACAAAAAGATAATCTATCAAGTCTAACTTTAAAAAAATAGCTTGCAATGTAAAATATCAAGTCAATACTCCTAAAAAAATGAAATTGAAAATACAACATAAGTTATAAGCAAAACAAAAATTTAACATAATACTTTTATGTCAAATTTCAACATAACATACATAAATATGATTTAAAAGAAAAGAAAAATGTAAGTACATAACTTTATTCAATAATGAATTCTACTTTAATTTTAAAATTAGAGTACTAGTAAAATTATACTAATAAAAAAAATTTAGATAATACGAGCAATTACACTCAATTATCTGCTGACCAAGTAATTACATGATCAACCGAACAAGACATACAGTGTAATTACACTCAATTACACAAAATCCAATTATCAGGGTGTACTTCCAAATAGACCCTAAATTTGGAGGAAAAGCTCATCTACACTATTCATAGAAAATTTGACTTATTTATGTCATTTTCATTTGAGAAAAATATCATTCATACAATTATTTGTTAACTAAAAATAGTTTCAATTATTTGTAAAATTATTTATTCATGTGGCGGGCTATGATTCGGCCATATTATTGATTAATTTTTTTTAAAAAAATAGTCAAATATTTTATGATTGATTTCTTCGAGCACGAATTATGTATAGTCTTTGTTCTAGACGAGGTAAAGTCCTTAGCTCAGACGTTGTAGAGTCTTTGTCGCGTAGCATATAACTTTCTTGTCTTAGATGATATAAAATCTTTGGCTCGGATGATGGGGTGCATTTAACTAAGACGATATAAAGTTTAACTGTGTAAAGCCTTTGCCTAGATTAATGTAAAAATTATTCAGACGATATAAAGTCTTATCGCAGGTCATGTAAAGTCTTTATCTTAAATAATGTAAAGTTTTTGGCTTGAACAACATCATGCCTTTGACACAGACAGGGTAAAGTCCTCACCAATGACAATGTGAGTTCTTTGGGTCACATGGTGTAAAAAATTTACCACAGATCGTAGATAGTGTAAAGTCTTTAGCTTGAATTATATGACGCCTCTTGGCTTAGACGGTACAAAGTTTTTGACTCAGACGATGCAAATTCATTATCTCAAACAATATAAAGCTTTGTCATATCAAACTAATATCTTCACCTATAAAATAAAATGAAGAGAAAAGAAAGTAAGAAAAAATTGAGAATAAGATAATTACGTGAGTACAGATTTATCTTAATTGTCAATATAGATTAAGTTGCTCTGTCAGATTTATCTAAATTGTCAATATAGATCGAATTGCTTCGTCCAATTCGCTTGTCTGTCGGAAAAATAAAAGAGCATTAAAAACTAATTCATAATTATTGACATTCACATAAGTTATGGTAAATCATAGATGTTAGCCACAAAGTACCGGTAACTCTTAATTTTTTGCAACATGTGTTATAAATCATTGGCAAGTCAAAAGAAAATTAATACTATCATAAAATTTTAACCCAAAAAGAAAAAAAAAACAAAATGAAGTTGTTATTGATTAAAAAACACAACAATATGGTGGATAACAAAAAGAAAAGTTCTTTAAAACAACAAGGTATGAAGATGATAAAAGATATCACTTATGAAGGTTATGCTAAGATTAAACTTTAGGATGATACGTCCACTCATTTACATTGAGCATGAATTTTGAATTTCAAAATTTCTACTGAATAGATATTCATAAAGATGAAAGAGCAGTATTTCGTATTCAAGGAAGAGTGAATTAAGATCTCATGTCCTGGTAGAACTAAAACTATATTTATTTGATGTTTAGTCGATTTGGACT